TTTAAGGAAGTAAATTTATGACGAGCTGAGTAATATGTGCTGTTTTGGGAATCGCTTTCGAAATCGGGTGCTTGATTATGTAATAGCTCGACGATCAGATCCAACATATTGAGCTGAAGTTTTGTCTGATTGAAAAACAATGGCAATAATTGACAATTAAAAGAGGACATTTCGAAAGCTCTCGATTCTGCCCTATATCTTTAATTGTCATCGGGAAAAGTGTCTTTAGTTCTTCTGACAAGACGTGTCAATTATACCAATTTTCTTTGGTTCCAGTAAGACAAGCTAAGAAATAGAATATAAAAACTTATGCGCGAGATAAAACGCGCTTATTACGCAAAATTTTGTCTGTCCCGAAAAAGGCTAACATATGTTTTCTTAAGGGTGCGTTTTTTAAGAAAACCCAAGATTGGATTCTTAAATCTGAAAACGGATTTTGCGTTTCTTTTCTAAACAGGTTGATCCAAGATCTCTGGGATCATGGTGCGTCAAAGGAACCGAAGAATCCACTCTGAGCTGGACAAGGATTCTTCGGTTCCTTTGATGCACTATGCATGATCCGAGTGATCTTGGATTGATCTGTTTAGTAAAGAGCGCAAAATCCGTTTTCCGATTTAAGAATCCAATCTTGGATTTTCTTAAAGAAACGCATTCTTACTGGTCATATATTTTCATGGTCCTAAGTTACTGCTACAAAAAAAGTACTTGTAACATATATTAGTAACACTTGACTGTTTATTGTATTTCAATTGGCCCTACATGTACAGCTGACCAGTTATCATAAGAAATGCGATATTAGAAACAAATCTACGTTTGCACTGCCTCGAAAATTAAGTTACAAACTGACAACTAATTTTCTGTCGATTTTTAGAATCTCCCACCGGTTTACAAACTTTATGTGAGAGTCTTTTCGATACTTCGGATAAGTGCCTCTGTGCTACTCAAGAGGATCAAGCTAAGAAATAAAGATTGTCAAAAGGATATGACAACCTTTGCTACTTCTTCCCGTCTAAATTAAGGAGGTTATTAATTTCTGCCGTGCACAAACGAGGACAGCAATGGTTGGGAACCTCGATCTTTTTAGTGATTAAATTAAACAGACGCTTACAACAAAACTGAATCACAGTATTAGCGTTATTTAGTAGCAATTAAAGGTCATTTTGAACGCTTTTATTTTGCTTGTAGCAAAGTCACCGACGCATTCAATTCAATATGAATCCCAAGTTCTGGCTCTCAGTTGCGTTCCTGATGTCCCGAATCGGTGTATTTCAAGCTGCTCTCCAATGCCAAGCAACGGAATACTCCATTGGAGGAATGTTCCTCAAGGGCCACACGTTTAAAACAAGCAAGGTTGGATGGCCTGCAGGGTGCTATTTGATGTGCGAAGAAGAAGTTACGTGTCAAAGCTACAATTTCGTTATTGGTCATAAAGTTTGCGAACTGAACAATCGAACTAAAGAAGCGAGACCTGAAGATTTTAGGCCGGATCAGACAAGGTTCTACATGAAAAGGGCAAAAAACAGAGGTACACTTCCATTCTCCTTACTTGCATGTTTGTCTCATTTTTCCAATGCAGCCATTTTCAATGCTAGCGTCCGTGGCGAGCGTAATTTTGAGTGCGGTTGCGGATTCTCCTATCGGAGCGGCGAAACCACCAGGAGAAGAGGTGGGATGTCTCCGTACGTGGCTTCGGCGCAATGGACGTGCCAAAACTATATGCTAACATCCCACAGGCCAGAGGAAGGAATCACGACTGTATGTAAAACATACGAAACATTCCACCCAAACAAACCTCCCATACCTGACCTCTACCTCAGAGAGATGCTAAAGCTTCTCTTAAAAGAAAACTCTTTTCATTTTAGCGGAAACACATGATACCGCAATGACTACAGAAATGGCGGTCTCCTTGGCCAACATTTTCACGGCCGCGGTAGAAACAGAAATCATTAACCGCAGCCATATAAATCCGATCAATGAAAACATATTTCGATGATGTCCCTTGTCTAAGGAACATAAACAATAAGGAAATAAACACGTTTACTATAGAGCTGACGAATAACTATCATGCACATCAGTGACCGTAAAATTCACGCCTGAAATTTCAGATAAAGAAATAATTTTGTTGGATACATGCTTACAGTATACAGGGGAAAAAGATTTAAGAAAGAGCCTATTCTCATCCAATAAAAAGAATAATTTTCCAGCATCGTCTAACGAACATAAGAGGGTTACGAATAAGGTTTATCTGTTATTAGTTCCTCTTGTTTCTAAAATAACTTGAAGCAAAATTACTTACGGGATCTTTTATTTTTTTATTTTATCTCACAGTCCCTCTTGGTTCCATCCAAGAGTTTCCTGCTGAATCGTGCAGTGAGATCAAGGCCAGTGAAGGAAATGAGATGGTTAACGGGAATTACTGGATATACTCTGATGGAAATGCTCAGACAATCCTGGCTCGCTGTGAAGGTACGACCATTTAGTTTATTGATAAAGAAGAAGTTCAACCTCCTAGCACCTGAAAAAAACATTATAAAAATTTGCAAGACACTGGAGTGGCTTAGTCGATTAATCGATCAACCAATAAATTTTGAGGGCAAACAGTCTTTTTGCTTTCGACGGCACAGGTATAAATTAAAGTGTCCAAAAAATTCCAGAGGTGAGTGCTGATTCGCAGAAATATTGAATTTTTGTCCGCCTGTGGGAGCGATCGGTAACGATCTTAACCTTTGTGTTTAAAGAAACTGGTTTTACCTCTGAAAATTTCCCTAAATATACCTAGGAGTTGATGCTAATGAAAAAAAAAAAATTAAAATTGTTTCATGTTACCAGATGACTTTAAAAAAGATTTATAACATTGATCTGATTGGCCCTTGAGCCTTAATATTAAGAGTGTGCCACAGGATCGCAACGTAAGACATGGATGCAAATATTTTTCTCTGAAAATTTATTTTAGAGAACTGGCAGAAATTAAACACAGAACCCGTTTGTTTTGGGGCGCGAGAAGGCTCGTATGGTGCCTTTAACATCACAAAGAGTGGATTTCTCAAGACAATGAAGCTCGTCCGCAAGTCGGGCTCGATCAAATGCAACCCAATAGACAAGGCATCCTACTGGGGCTGCAGATATGAACCCCTATATGGCAAAAACGGTTTACTGACTATCATTACCAATGCAAAGAGAGAAGCCATCCTGCCACCTGCTGGAGACCTGAAAGCCGGGTGTAACGACGAAAAACACTTTTACAGTCTTAATGGAACTAACCACACATCTCCAGAGCTCGTTTTCCCGGACCTTCCTAACAAGCTGCCTGTGTCACGCAATCAGGAGTTGCAGATATGGTACGGACAGGATTGGATCGATTGTAGTGAAGATGGCAACAGTAACGCAACATGTGTTGATGTGTATGCGTGGTATGCTTTAACATGAGCCTCTGACTTATCCGAAGCAGTAAGTGTTTATAGACACTGAAAAATTAACGTAAACGCCGCTCATATTTATCTTCTCTTGTATTGAATCTTGTAACTTAGCGCACAAATGCAGGAAGACATTCACGGAATAAAATGCTAAGAATAGTGGAAATATGAAAGTAGCGTCGAGCAATTACCAAGACGACGAAGCATTGTATGTACTATACTATTTTTACCTGGCTGTAAGGGCTAATGTAGTAATTACACATCTAGGCTCTCACGAAAGTTTTTGAAGCTCCACTTCTTCTCCAACAGCAGTCTCATTCCAAACTACAGTACATGTATCAAACATGAAGTATAAATATCAATAGTTATCGGAATGTATATTAATTAGTTTATATATGTGCATTCTTTGTATTAAAATTTACTATTCTTGCTGTTAAAAATATTAAAAAAAGATGTTGAATGTTTATAGTGGTCGACGCGCTTAACTACAACTAGCCACAGTTCTCAGGCATGCCACTTAAGGAGAAGCACATTTTTTCCAAAACTTTCTTTTTTTATCCATAATTCTGTCCAACTGACCTATCTAAGTCTCTAACGAGCAACATTTGGGCCGGTAAATGATCTTATGCATTTTAGCTTAACCATAACAGGCTTAAAAATCCCAACAGGCGGAAGGCACTCCAGTTGGCTATTTACAAGCATAACAGAGGAGTTGAACTAGGGTCTGTGGGGAAGCAACTCCAGCTTTAATAGTGATCAGAGCGAGACTTGAGCCCGCGACCTCCGGATTTCAAGTCCAGCGCCCTACCAACTCGGCCACGCTGCCTCCAGAGCTTTTAACTTTTGTCAGGCCACGCTATGTGACGTGTTACAATCATTTCCGGTAAGATGCCTTGTCTCCAGGTTGAAGTTCATTTTCGTGGACAGGTCTGCTTTCCTGTAATGCATGTACCATAGTTAAAGTTTTTGCATGAGCACTGACTTCGTTCAGGCTCTAATACTGGTCTCCTTCACCATTTGCAAATCTTGACTGGCAGTTCTAAAGGGTTTAACATAACCCGCCTCCTAGCTCAAGAGCTGGCGAGTGTTAGACAAGGATTTAAAT